AGAACTCGGTAATGTCTTATTTTGTAGAGAACTGTTTACTTTATTATTCTATGTAGTCTAAACAAAATTATATTTACCCATTCAAGATATTAAAAAACTAGCCTTTTGATTTTGCTGAAGTTTTTGTTTTTTGAAACCTGATAATAATTTTTATTTCCTTAGATGCCTTTTAGAAACAATTTCCTCTATTGGAATCACTATTTGAATTCTTTCTGACGCTTACAGCAACAGAAAAGAATTATGAAATAAATCTTGGTTGAATAATTTTGGTATTCACGATATGTCTATTAAAGACCTTGAATTTAGGTTGTCGTATTTTATGAAGTATTCCTCTTCTAACTCATCACAGTCTCAAAAAAGATCATATTTAAAAGCAATCGCTTGAAATTACATACTATAGAATTATTGGCCTATTTTTCATAGATGGCTTACAAAGGAGAATGATTGTCTTTCAATAATAAACAACGTTTGAGTATTCATTTTTTTTATACTTCCAAGGTTGTAGATCACTATAGCAAACTTGTACAATAATTCAGTGATATATACTTCCTAAGTAAGTCATATATGTATAAATGAAAAACTGACTTCATCGATAAAAAATTCAAGTTGTTCTTTCCAAAAATTATTCTTTTTATTACCTTAATGACCTACTACGAACTCCCTTCAGTTTTTAATGAATTAATATTCCCTTGTCCTTGTTGCTACTATTAAAAATTTAAGATCATCCAGAGACGTCGTTCTTGACTTAATCGATTTTTAATTCAGTAATTTAAAGTTTAATGTCGACTTTAGAATTAGCAACCATCTGAATTTATATTTTGTTCATTAAAGAAAAATTGTTACATGTAGTTTACTAGAGCATGTCGAATCCGGATCCGAAAATTTTGAACCCGATGGGCTCTATAGTCCACTCAAATCAAATCGAAGCCAATAGACTACTGTACTGACAACCATTTCAATCAACTAATAAAAAGAAAACAGAAAAATTCTATCTCAATTACAGATATTAATAAAAGAAATAACGTTCATGTCTTTTTATTTTCTATCATTTCAAAATAAATCTTTATTTTTTCATTAATATATCATACTTTTTGATTTCCATATCGATCAACAAGGTATTGCCATCGAAAAGCATCAGTACTATATGATACCATAAACGACATAACATATTCTTCTTTATTAGCTCGACCTTGAGTTAATACACCTGATATCTACAAAAAAAAAAACGCTTTTTTCTTGTTTCATAATTTATGATTTAAAATAAACTTTTCAACTAACTTTAGCTGCAATACCCAAATCAATTTGTAACCACTCTGAATCTGATTTATGTCGTGCACACCATGCACGATTTGATGGTTGATACAGTCGAGCATTTTTTTCATGACAATCAGTATCCCAAAGTGTTGATGATGCTGTGATTTGCCAATCACGTATTTCACCACTAATCATACCCAATGGACCATTACATACTATAAATATAGGAATAATCACAAAAAAAACCACTTATTAACACAGAAAAAAAATCTCATATATACCTTGAGTACTAGCATCAATAGATTTAATAGCAAAAATAAAATAAATCATTAAAATCATTTTCAATCTTGTATGAATTTTCATATATTTAATCATCTAAATAAAGATGAAAAGAAAATCTTGACTAGACTTTTATTATAATTACCAATCAACATATTGGCATATAAAATTAAACAAGACAAAAAAGAAAAACAAATACTAAAGAAACGAATAGAGACATTGCAATTAAACATAAGGCGTGTCCAATTTCTATATTAAAAATAGTGGCATACTACTGATCAATAGAACAACTATTATCATCATTGTCGCGACGTCTGACAGGCAAATGATATTTAGTCAATCGTTTTTTTTTCTTCTTTGAGTATTAAAAAAAAAAGAATTTTTGTTTTCAAATATTAGTAGTATCAATTGTCTCTTTTACAACAAATGAGGAAGAACTGCAAATGTCAGGGTCAAGGTGAATCGTTTTATATTTTCTTTTTTTCTTGTTTGTCCATACTTTCGAATACACATGCCGAGTGTCCAATTTCAATTCGTCTTAGTACTAATACGAACAACAAGGTTAACAAGATGGCTTTTCTTCTCTCTCTCTCTCTTCTGCCTATCGTTCGTCTCTAATCATATCATTCAACATAGTACCTTTCGTCTTAATTTTAACAAATCTCTACAAACTTCTTTTTTTTCTTATTACTACGAAAAAATAATGTAAAATATAAGTTACATATCCTTATATGCTACTCATATCATACATTCTTATATTCATCATCAACAAGAGATACATTAGCCGGAATCAGTGCAAATCCCAATGTTGAACTCATACTATTTCCCTTGATAGAATGTATCATTTCTCATAAGATGTTACAAGAACAAGAAAAACTTAACTCAACTCCAAGAAACATATACAGGTAGTAAAATGACATACTGCCTGCTGCGCCATTATAACCAAAAGTGTGTATTCGCAAGAGAGAAAGAACTGATTGCATCATCATCATCATCATCATCATCACTATTCAATCAAAAATTGAGAAAAAAAAAGACAGACAGCGAAATGCATAATCATTAAAGTGAATTATGCTATACAAGATGCCTTAAAAAAGAAGGTAAGTATACACGTCAAAAAAAGAACAAAAAAAAAGTATACTATGAATATAATAAAGAAAAAAAATAAAATAAAAATAAACGATAATTTGATTTCAAAAAGAACAAAGGAAAAAGAAAACTTTTTTTTTTGTGTTCTTTTCCAATATAAATATACATTTGAATAAAATAATATGTTCATGGCCTTTTTAACGAATTTAAGCTCTTACTTTGTATTTATTATAGATGCTCAAAGGCGGGATAAAAAGACAAGTAGTTTTCTTTTTTTGTCTTGATTTTATGCAAAAGAAAACAGATTGTCATCGTACTTCCTAATCGTCTTATATATTCTCTCACCGTCTATATATTGTAAAAAGGTCAATTTTATCTGGTATTCGTCACATATTGACCGCCTTCGGGTCTATGTCTCCTACCGCCCATATGGTCCATTCGTTTTCAAAGTTAAAAGCTCGTTGACAACATTGATGATAATAGACGACAACGACAAGAGAGATCTTTTGATTAATGCAGTAAATGAAGAAATACGAAAGAAAAATAACGAGAGACACTAAGAGAAGAAGGAAAAATGCAAGTCTAATGATGATTGTTCATGTATAGTCAAGTAGAAAAAAAAAAGCAATTATATAAAAAACGAATAATGATCATTTAGTGGCAATATGAGAAACATGCGATTTAGTTATTCAAGGTTAATCATGAAGAGATTTGACTTTTATGAATCTTGGCACGTACTTGCGTCATTGAATTCGTTTTGTTATCAGTACAATCACCCGTCATATGAATAGTCTTGTTCATAAATTATTTTCGAATCAGTGAGGAAGAACCTTGACACATACATCTCTCATAGTTTGTATCATGTATTAAAATGTATTAAAATGTATTTTTTAAAATGAAAAAAAAAAACAAATTAGATGCGATATATTGATCAAGGTAGTTCGATAGGTAGGTAGTCTAATATTCTATTATGTGCGATCATCTTAGCAGAAACGATAAGAAGAGATGTGAACGCGAAATATCAAGCTGTGTATATATATACTTTAGAGATCAATTATCGGTTGACGAATATACATAGATGTTTAAAAGAAAGGAATCATTGAAGTACATGTGATTACATTTCAAACTAAACGCAATACAATGTGTGAAATGAAAAAAAAACTATCGGATGAATATGTTCTTTAGTAAATAATAGGCATACGCCCATTTGATAGATTAAACTGAAAAATATTGTAAAAAAAGAAAAAAACAAAACAAAACAAAACTTACTTCATATTTGTTTTATTAGAGAAATCAATTGTATATATGTGATTAATAGATAGATAAATAGATAGATAGATAGATGACAACACGATGGATAATACTATACAATAATGTATAAATATATGTGTTTTTTTTTGTGTATGATATGTTATGAAAAATGAGAAAGAAAGAAAGAGATGAAATTTCTCTCTATTCTTCTCCTTTTTTTCTTGCTCTTCTCTTTCTCTAGAGAAAGAGAAGAGAACAGGTTCAATCATTGATTCGGTATGCTTACCATAGTGTATATATGGCGTCATCAACTTTCTTATGATGTCAATGACGACTAAGTCTTCTAGAGTGAGCGGAAGTCATAGTTATACCGATGAGAAATAACAAAAACCGTTAATCACTAACTTCTCGTTATCAAGACAAGTAAGAAAAAGAGAAAAAAAAATGTAAATTTAAATGATTATATTTGTATAATCGATTTCATCAGTATGGTCTCTGCATAAAATTACATATCATGATTAAAATGATTCAACTTTATCGGACTATATTTCATTATTAACAATAAAAACTTTCAAAAGCTCAAAAATATAAAAGCATTTTAGGTATTAAAGTAAAAAGAAACAAATAGGATAAAATTTTTCATTATGTTATATCCACAAATGAATACGACAAGCTTAATGACGACAACAACACACGATTATTATTGTTGTTCATTTTACTATTGTATTTCATTTTATGACGACACACTATTCGTGTCATCATTCAAATAGCTTAAACGATTGAAAAGAAAAAAACAAGAGCAACAGACGCGTAAAAAGCTTAGACATCATTTAGCGACAAACCTATATATTCGTTGATTCGTACGAGAAAAGTGCGAAAAGTGTTAACAGATTTATTTCAATCAAAAAACAAAAGACGACGACGACGACGACGACAACATCGACTATGACATATATTCGAGTTGATGATCATCATTAGTGTAGTAAGCATCTATATATACATGTATACGTTGAACATATAAATATATACATATATAAATAGATGTCCAAATAATGAAATACGATGGTGACTGGAGGTATTTATGTGTAAAAAGAGAAGAGTCGAAAATGAATTCTAACGTTATTGTTATTGTGTCATATGACATAATCAAAAGAGACGTAGGAAGTCTAACTAATGTCTGCTATACTAGACTAGTATATGTTGTTGTATAGGTATCATTTTGAACTTGAAAGTAAATCAAAACAAGAATGAGAAAAAGTGACCAAGAGTGAAAATGAATACTAGTTATTCTATAGTAGTAAATTAAACAACAACCATCTTGTATATATATATATGATGAAAAAGAAAAAAAAGAGGATTGTGTCATATACACACATCTATAGTGCCAATTGCATAATGATTATATATTGACCAAAACAACTTGACCGTTTGATGAGTAGTTTTTGTCTGCTATGGAAATTTTCGTTTTTTTTTTGTTTGACAAAAAAAAAAAATATTTTGATTATTTTAAAATGGATATATCTGTTATTCCATGTAAATTCAAGTTTCGTTGTTTTTGTTTTTGGAAATTATGTCAATTATGATGAAGGTCTTAAACAAAATGAATTTTTAGTTGTACCTTTATTAATAATATGGATTGTCAAGAAATATTTATTGATCATTGATACGGTCATTTTAAGCATGAAATAGTTATTAGTAAATCAAATATGAATTATATAGAATTTAGATGAATATTAAATTAAAATATTTAATATTTTTGATATTTTCAATATTTCATTAAGATAGAGTTTTATTTCGAATGAATAATATTTACAGTAAAATCTTTTTTTTATTGAACTTTGAAGATAAATTCTTTTGTAAAGGTGTTTAAATTTTATTGAAGGTAATGTTTTTAATTCAACGACTTCATAAATAATTGAAGAATGGATATAGATAATTTATCCAAGTAAAAATTGCTGATAATTATATTGATAGAATTGAAGACAATTTTTCAAGTTTAAAATGTGTCTTAATATTATTTAGAATCTCTACATTGATACTTGATTTCCATATGTACATCAATTTCATAGAATAAAAACTCAATGAAAGTATGTCTTTAAATTTGAAATCTTGTTTTTTTCGAACAAAATTTCACTTGTTTAAAAATTTTAAACAATAAATCAATATTAAATTGTCTTTTTAAAATTAACAGAAAAAAAACGACTTTTTACCGATTAATTCGATATGTTGTTATACAATTTGATCAACTATTCTGTAAAGCTTCAAGTACTTGCAATAAATATTCCTTTTATCTTCATTCATTGAAAAAGTCGTTATCATTATTCTTTATATCTTAAACAAAGAGACTTCTACATTGTCAATTAGCGTCATCTGGTGTACCTGTCAAATCATAGGTGCATGGCATATATCATATTTATGAGAAAAACAAGAAAGTGAGAGAGACAGACAGACAGAACAAAAAATAAAACACAACTTTCATCAGTTATTCGTCATTATCAGATGTAGATATTCTTACATGTATATATTATAGTTGTTTTTTTTTCAATGAGAAAAAAAATAATTATTAAATTCTTATAATAATGTCTTTAAAATATTCAGCTAGTACTAATTCAATATCATCTTCAACTACAGTGCCAACCATACCACTGAATGAAGAAACAATTGATCCATCAAATATTTTATATAATGATCGACAAAATTATCAAATTATATTTTCGAATGATTCTCGATTTTTTGATACTAGTCTACACTTATTTAAATCATATTGTGATTTAGGTTATATTCAATTAGATAACAAAAAATCTAAAAGAATTTCATATGCTTCTTCTTCAACAAATACTTTTAAATCACAATCAAATGGATTTAATCGTTGGCGACTTAAACCACCAGCATTTAGTAGTAATCAAAATATTCATGGAAGTCCTCGTGAATCAGTAAATAAACCACCATTTATAAGATATCATGGTAAAAAGATATAGTCTTTTATTTTGTAAAATCTACAATGAAAAAATTTATTTTTTATTTTATTAAATTAGATTATTCAATTAGTCGACGATCTGATCCAGGTTCTTCAAAATCAAAATCAACAAAAATAAAACGTGAGCAATCACCATTGGTTATTTCTTATCAAGAACAATCAATTCATCCTGTCACATATAGTGATAGTTCGGATGATCCTGATATAATTGTAACCAGATTGTGATTATTTAAAATATATATTTAACATCTACATTCCAATTTCAAGTATAATATTTCATATTACTTTGTATCGTAAAGTCTTTCGTTAGTCTCATTTCCTTTATTCACCAAATGCTCTGTCCGAATGTACGTTGTGAACAAATATATGAATTACTTCTTAATATTATTTACTATGTTTTATATATATATATATATATAAATATGTGTGTGTGTGTGTTTGTTTGTTTTGTAATGCATTTTTGTTTTGTTTTGATTTTCAGATGAGTTTGTGTATGAAATTCGTTTTCAATATCAGCTTGTTTTTGGTCTTTTAAAAAAATCATTGCACACAGAGATAATAATAATAATGATTATAAAGAAAATATACTGATATTAATGTTAATGATTTTAAACAGTTTTTCAAATTTTTTTTTTTTCGATAATAAATAAAAAAAAACTAAACGAGAATTTATATGTTATGTACGATAATGGTTTTTTTTCCTTGAAAGTCTACTAATCTTAAAACAAAAATTTTAATAATTAATCGTGTTAATCGACTGATAAATTTAATGTCTGTTGACATAGCAAACTATCGAGGTCAGATAGATGAATGAAAACTTCTAAATATTCAATCTATCAAAATTGATAGATGTATTTCATGACAAATCATTTTACTATCATTATCAAATTATCAAGGGAAATAAATAGTGTAAAGTATTCATATTGATTGAGATAAATTCATCTTCACTTTGACATTTTGAAGGAGTGCAATTCGCAATTATAACATTTAGAATAAATAGAAATTCAAAAGTATATTTGCTGATGATCAATTTGATTTTTAAAAAGAAAACATTATTATCAGTTCTGTATATTTAAATTCTTTTCTACTGCTTAATGCCATCGACATCTTAGTTAAATTAACATATATCAAGAACAGTGACAAACATATACATATATATGTATATGTCACTGTTACGTGTATTGTAGATAAGAAAAATAGAGAATTAATCCTTTGTGTTTCGATGTCATTGTTGATAGATAAGATCAACATAACTGCGAATATAAATAAAGGTTAATAAGATTGCAATTGAAGAAGAATCAACTTTGACAATTGTCACGAAAAGTTGTGTTACTATTGAATGAATATTAAAAAAAATAGTTCGAAGATATATATTTAATGAAAATTAAAATAATGAATTCAATTAGAAAGATATCAGATATCATTTTTGTTCGCATTTACAGAAAATTTAAAAAAAAAGAATTTTTTATCAATTAAGAAAATAAACCAATTGTAATACTTTTTTTTTCATTATGCACTTGCACATGTCTATTGATGATCATCATTGAATAAAATTCGCTCATCTTGTAATGAATGATTGCTTTTCTTTCGTGTATATTTCTCTTATTCTTCAATGAACAATATCAGTCAAAATTGACACAACAACACATCATAGTAATGAAGTTTACTGTTTTTGATTGACTTAACAATAGCTTTGCTACTATAAGATTTTCTACATTTTATGTTATAGTAATTCAAAGACAGTTTTGACTTTTGTTTTATGTATTAAAACTTGTGGTTGATATCAAAATTTAATGTTGTGACTGCCTCACTACCATTATGAACTTCATTTAAACTGTTAAATTATAGTTTGGTGCCTTTTAGTCATAAGGTTGTACATGAAAACATTTCTGTCTCAGTTCTTGTATCGTATACTAGACTGTGGTATCAGTGAGAACATAACATGCATATGTTAGTCATTCTACAGTTTTCATTGTGAACAACAATTATCATTGGGATCATCGAATGAAAATCCCTTTTTTTTCATGTCATGTGAAAAAGAAAATACAGTCAAATCGACTGAAGTATGGTTAGTTTATTTTGGAAATCCTATTGTAATCTTCGTTTGAGTTTATTGTTGATGTACGTCATAGTATACGATCATTGCCTCGTATTGTGTGATTTTCTTTTATACAATATGAAAACTCAAACAGAAATTTTTTCATCTTCAATCTATTGTTAAAAGACACTAAACTATTATCTAAGAATTGGAACGAAGTTAATAATGATAGCGAGACAGTCATAACAACGAATTTAGGTTTCAATCATATATAATTATATAAAACAAATCTACAATTATCTCAATAAATCTTTGCTCTCTAAAGATAAAAATCGAAGAGTAGATTTTATAATAAAATATGTATCTGCAGTATAAATATGAAATTAAACAATGATAGTATGAAAAAAAACGTAAAAAAAATAGTTGCTTCGTTTATTTTGTTTACTGAGATAAACAATTGTTAAGTGTTTCCTTTTATTTTCTTATCAACATTCACAAGTAAACTATTTAAACTACGAAAAACAATACAAAACAACAACAAGAGAACGAATACTAACCAATATGTTCTAACCAATAATCTGGTTTTTGTGTCAAATAAAATTTTTGTGATTTCATTCATCATAATCATAAATAAACAAAAGTCAAATACTCGTAAAATATATCATAAAAATATTTCTTTTTATTTTAAATTAATACTGAAGAAATAACACTTGTGTAATAACAATACACGTTAATATTGTTGCAATTATTTTGACAACTAATCATAAGTTCCAATTATGACAAGATCAAATGGATGATATATAAAAAAAATCGATGCAAAATATGTAACTTTTGTTAACACGTTAAAAACTTTCAATATTTCCAATTAATTTATAAGTATGAAAGACGAATTTTAAATTTAATAAATGTGAAATTCACTGCGACATATTGTTGAACGATATGCATAATATCTTTTTTAGGTACCATTGTTAATGACATAAATCCATCGAAAATTATATAAGATTTAGTCATTATATCTCTAAGAAAAAATTTACCATTAAGACCTGACTGTAGAAATGGCATCGCCCTAAAACTCTTGAGTCAGATTGTAGAGTTTCGATACTCTACCTAGGCACTACTTCTGCATCATTGATGATCATTCCAATCATTTTTGTGCCATACCTCTAATGAACTAATGCACTGTTACTGCTTTTTGAACATAGTTTTCTCTAAAGAATTGTAAAGCACGAGAGTGATTAGAAACCGATACTTAAGCTCTGGTTTATGTAATCATACAAATAAATAAAAACAAAAGTACTAACACACACGTAAATAATTTACCATTGAGCATGCAAAATATTGTTGTTTGAAAAAATGATAATGTCAAAGAAATATCAAGTTAAGTGTTAATGAAAACACATAAAACAGCCGATCAAGAACCTCGCAATGACAAATTGTTTTAACAAATATTGATAAGTATTATTTAAAAACTAAGGGTTTTACCATGTTCGAAATTTATAATATACGTGAACGATATCAATATATTGTCAGTATCACGTCGATTTTATTTAATATAATATTCAATATCATAAAAATTTGTAATGAAGTGTCATTATCAAAATTTCGAAGTCATACTCATGAAATATATTAGTAGATAAGACAAACTTACTGTCAAGTATGAACGACAAAAAAACAAGTCGCTTTCAATTTTTACTCTTGCGATTTTTGTTTCGACTGTTAAAACCAAAAGAATTTTTTGTATGAAATTCGAGTAATAAATTGAATTATTAGGGTGCGAAGTAATATCATCATGTAAATCACTATTCAATGTATATACTATATTTTATTCGTTCCAATTTATTGATTTATTTTTAAAAATTTAAAGAGTTTGTAATCAGTTGATTATATGCAGAGAAACGTGAATGGAAGCATTAATGATTTGATTATTCTATAGATAAGAAATAAGGTTTGATACTTTTACTTCTATGAGTTTCATTCAGAATACGTAATGTTTGCTCGAATCTATTACATAATTAAAATTCTTCTCATCTCCAAGTAATGAATAAATCACCATTTCTTTTGAAAAGTGATTACTTAATTATTAACCTGTTTCAATCGTTTCTATAATATATAACAAAATTATTATTCATTAAAGTTATATAACCAGCTTCTTTTGATGCATCAAAACCTGATTACATAGTAATACTAAGATTAGTACATTTGAATGTCTGTGTATCATTTTTTTTCATCACTTGTTACAATAATTATTTCTCTACATTTTTGATATTTCATAACAATACGTCTTTTTTGTTCAGGTGATGTACTTGTAAATATAAATTCATGATGTAATAATAAACACTTCCACATACATTTGTTTACTTGTTAAAAAAAAAATTAATACATACCTTGAGTAAAATCACTTCGATTAATAACATTGTTATACGATAGTAAAGTGATTATCTTTTATCTAGAACAATTATTTCTTTCGGATGAGGATAAAAATAAAAATTGATACAATCTTATATACGTTTAATCCATGAAACAATTAATTACTTTTTATCATTAATTAAGTGAATTTTATTAGTTTGTTGTTTTTTTCTTTGCTTTTTTTATTGAGACGATTTTGTTGTTCCTAATATGTGTATAAATTTTAACTAACTTCCTATTACGAAGTAATTGAATACTAATTAATTGAAATATATAAAAACCATTGTATGGAAATTATTTCATGAGTTAAAATATTAACTTGTTTAGGTATAATTATTATTGTTGTTAGATGATCGTTGGTAACCATTACAAAATGTATTTCTTGCTTGTTCAACTTTAAATAGAACATTGAGTATTTCAATTCTTGATAAATTAAATACAAAAACATAGTTCAATAAAAGTATAGTCTTATGTTGAAGCAGCATTATATTAATCATCATATTGTTTTATCTAGTAAAATTTAATCGAATAGATTTTGTTTTCAATTATTTCTTGATGTATTACAACAATTCGATAACTATTTCCACTCATTTTTTTTTTCTTATCGATAAATAATATGATTATGCATATCATGTGTTGACTCTTTTATTTCATTTGTTAAAGAGCAATTTTCAGTTCAATATCATATCGAGAAATGTATAGACAACTATTTCAGCATCTGTCGATATCTTGAATATACGTAACGTTAATATGTAACACAATACACTATTTGCTTTATCATTGAGAATACAAATATATTGTGACTTTGATTACATAATAGTGAATCTTATTAAGGTGTTGTTGTATGAATTTGATTTATTTCTAATCGTTTTGCTTGTAAATTCCACTTATTTTTCAGTTAAATTGTCACTCTTAATATGTTAACTTGTAATTGTACTGTATCGAACTTCGAATTCTTATTCGTGATATGACATCAGTTTAAACTGCTGGTTTAAAACAGAATAAGACAAGAATAAATATCAATAATATTCAAAGATTAAGTAGATCAATTATGTGTTTTGTTTTTTGGTAAATGCTTCAAAAAATGATGACAAAATTTCATTGAACGATATTAATCGTAAATAAATTCAATTTATACCGTTTATGAAACTATATTTAACTATAAAATAGAAAAATTTTTGCTAAACTTTTTTAAAATTTCATTAGCTGTTTTTTTTTCATTACAATCTTATCTTGTGTTTCATTGATGCTATAATAGATAGATCAAAATGTAACTTTTAATCTTCAAGTCAACAAGTAACATCTTGTCATTTACAATATTTCTACTACGCAACTTTTCAATACTATAGTGTTGATCAGAAGAAAAAAAAAGAAGAAGAAAAAGAACAAACGGTCACATTTTGTCGTTCTCATTCAATGGCGAACATCGAAATGTTGTTTTTTATTTCATGTTCTTTTTCTTTTCGACTGTGTCACCCACATCACACACATTTCTGTTTTACTTGTTAACTCATCTTTTGCAACATAAGAAATAATGAATAGAACTCGGGATGCAGTTATTGTTATGGAACAAACTGATATTAATAATCCTCAAAATGATTCAAACAAATCTCAAAATAGGCCAATGACGTTTAAAATTTATTTTTGTACATTTTGGATGGATTATCTTTTAATGGCTATTTTAGGAGCTGTTGGTCTTGGTGTTTATTATCTTCGACCAATACCTAATCGTGTTTTTCCTGTTTATTTTTCTAATGGTGAAATAGTTAATCCAGAATTTAGTTATCCATTTCGTAAAGATATTATTCCAATATGGTTAGCTGCATTTTTAGCATTTATTATTCCATTTATATTTATAATATTAATGCAAATACGTCTTCGTAGTTTTAATGATGCTAATACAGCAATAATGGGTCTTCTTTTTTCTCTTATATCAGCTGCAGTTTTTCAAGTATTTATTAAATGGCTTATTGGTGGTTTAAGACCACATTTTTTTTCTGTTTGTAAACCTAATATTAATGCATCAAGTTATGGTACAGGCAATGGTTTTGATGGTATTATGTTTGATCGTTCAATATGTACAGGTGATGAAAAACAAATTAATGATGCTCTTGAATCAATGCCATCAGGTCATTCGACAGCAGCTTTTGCTGGTCTTGTTTATTGTTCATTATATCTTAATGGTAAATTAAAAATTTTTTCTAATTATCGTCCACAATATTGGAAATTTGCACTTTTTTATGCACCATTACTCGGTGCTGTTCTTATTGCATTATCATTAACAATTGATCATTATCATCATTGGTATGATATTTTAGTAGGATCGATTATTGGAACAATGTTTGCTTTTGGATCATATCGTTTTCAATATGCAAGTGTTTGGGATTATAGATTTAATCATATACCATTACCACGGATAGATACAGAACAAGGATTTGATTATCATCTTAATCATCTTGAAAATTATTTAAGTGCTTCGAAAAAAGGTGGGTGGATGAATGGTTCTATATATGGAGCACCATTTGATGCATTAGGAACATTATCAATTGTAAAATCCTCAGGATCAACATCTGCTGATTTAAGATTATAGATCTTTGCATTTATTTTATATACAATATAATATACTTAAGGCAATCCAAAAGTAGTGATGTCATCACTTTAGTTCTCTATAGAAACCTTGAAGAAATTTTCTTTTTTTTATGTTGGGATAGAGAAAACGATGCTCTATTTTTCTGTGCTATACGATTACTCTTCAACTAATTTCATAATAATAAAATTTCGATAAGAACTGTTCTTTTTTTTGTGTAAAACTACACTATAGCATTAGATCCTGTTATCATTCATGTATATTCTCTTCTTTTATCTTCTTTTTCTCGTATCTGGTGTGGGACGTGCGTACGGGTATGGGTATGTATTTTCTTTTCATCCACATCCGAAAAGTTCATGTTGCAAGACGATTACTAATAATATAATAACTTTTATGTTATAATCCATTCAATTCTGTATCGGATGATATATTGGAAACTATTTTGAAATATTCTAAAATCAAGCTAGTCAAGCCAAAAATTTGAGTTCTCACATTTTATTTAGTTAATATAGATCAACTTGAACATTGCAGGTTTTTATATTTCAAAGTTTTTTTTAAAGCATTTAATTTTAATCGAAAGAAGAATATGATATTTTAATAGTTGTCATCAATAATCATAACTACATGTAACCTAGATTTATTTGACAAAAGAAGGATTATGTAATAAAGCGTACACGACAATATGGAAAATGGTGTATAATTCTGGGAAGTGTCCTCGACGTACCCAATGATCTATACTAAGCAATGCGAAAGTCATTGAAAATGTAATATGGTAGATATTAAGGGTTTTGGAAGAAAAATTCCGAATCTTGTAATTCTTATCGCAGCTGCCCTTAAACCATTAAACAACCTGCTGTGTCGATTTTACAAACATTTTTTTAAAATTTTCATTTGTCTGATGTTTAAAATTTTGTTTCATAAATTTGGGCGAAGATGAAAGCTGCATTGTGGATGTGTATAGTATTGAGGTGATGGTCTGCATTTCATCATATCGGATTGTTCTTATCGATATTATTGCGTTATGGAGTAAATCACAGCGGAACCAGACAAGAATAAGAAAACAATAAAGATAGAGTTTTTTTTTAAATTGCGTTCAACATCAAAATATAATGAGCTACTAATTTTTATTGTCACGTAGGAACATATAACTAATGTCTGTTTATGGTTATAAGAAGTATTTGTTCAAAGTACTTTTGTTACATACTCAGATATCAAATAAGACTGTTATATAATTGTATCTATTGAAAATGTTACTGATTATGGGCTATATCTTTTACTTCTTCAGACTTTGCCTGTCTATTATTAAGGGATCTAACGAAGCCATAGTCGTACAGTAGTCGATGGACACAGCTATTTGTATTTCCACGTAACTTTGCTAGATACTGTCATTGATAGTACAACATACCACGTGGACAGCCGTATATGGACCGTTTCGTTGTGTCTATGTAATTTAGATCTTAATATAGATAAGTTATTGTAAAAATTCAGTTCTTTCTCTGAATCAGTTATGGTGCAGTGTTCCCGCTTGTTTAAGCTAAACCATTTATCAGCTTTTTGCAAGAGAAGAAAACAAGATTTCATTAATGTTGTCTATATTGAAGAATACATGTGATGTTAGTCTTCGCTAATTTTTCATCTAATTGACGCAACAATGCCAATGATTAATAGAAAATGAAGAAATAAAAATAAAAACATCAATTATGTACATAAATATTTTGAATAATGTTTTTATTGATTTTACTTATGTATAGAATAAGAGTGAGAGAAGCAACTTTCTTTTTGACCAAAAAAAAACGGCCAACGAGAATAGTCATCTGACATAACTTTCGACAATAAAAGTTTGATTTTGAGTATTTGAACTTCGAATAACAATTTATATTCTTATGATGATTATGTAGATTAGTCTTTTGATATTTTTAAATAGTTAATTGATAGTACTTTTACTATCAGCTTTTATGAGCAATGTGTACCACGATGTCAATATTATGGTCAAAATCATATTTTTGCTCTTACCTATATATATATATATATATGTGTAAATAGTATGTGAGCAACTGTACATGTGACTGCTTGCGCATGAGCAAGGAAAAAACAAGAGAAAGACAATGACAGAAAGAAAAATGACGATTTTTAGAGAGAAAAGAAATAACTGTTATTCTTAATCGGAAATATATTAAAGAAAACCTGCTGGAAGCTATGGAGTATCCATTTTTTGAGAATCGGTACCCCATACTTAGTTTTTCATAATCTTTCAAATGATGTAATTGTCATCAACTCTGCACGAGATCGAAAATTTCATATCCGTCAATATGTTCTGTTGTTTTTGATTTTTTATCGTTCATGTGATATAATTGTAACTAAAGCATATAGCCGTGTTTGATTTATCATGCGTGAAGAGATACAAATAAAAGAGATAAGAGAGGCATGTCTTATCATAAGCTGATTTTTGTTTTTGTCTTGGTTGAAAAAGGTAAGCAGCATGTTTGCATACTATTCGTTCTTAACAAACACAAATCATTCCTGATTCATGATTTTTGTCTAATGATTATAATAACTGGTGACGTATAAAGAATAGCAGTCTGAGTATTATGTAAATATCTTATATATGTTTCATTGTTGAGATCGGGTCTTTTTCTAAAACGATTCTGCTTTCAATTCTCTTCAAACTGGTGTAAGAGTAGTTTGTATAAACTATAATCATAAAATCTAATCGAACGAACACTGATGTCTTGTGGAGTGACACTTTTTCAATGGCATCTTCTTATATATCTGACAACCTTCGAGAAGCCATCGATAAACGGCTAAATGAATCCCAAAACTTCACCAAAAATTTGCTTCAACAGACTCACAGAGACACGACTCCTTTAATCGCTATATTCTGATTCTCTATCATTTATCAACTTTTGCTAAAGCTTTACTAAGAACCATATAAAAATTCAGGCAGCATGCCATAATATCACGCTAGTAGGGGTGATAATGTATACCTACTTTCCATTCCATTTAATACATAAATTAAATTATTTACACTTCGTAATTTATTGAATTAAATTATTCTAAACTGAAATCAAATGATCAAGCACTTACAACTTCATGAATATTATTTATATCTAATGGTTATTATAATGTATTTTATTATATGATTATCATTATATATTAATCTACATTCCAACAGACATACGTAGTATATATGAAGCTGTACGTGTTGGATCATTTTATGTCAACAAGTCCTACTGATATATGAAAATACGTTTTAGCAAGAGAATGTAATCTGTGTATAGAATAAAAAGAAACAAATGCATCG